CAGCATAGAGTCGACAATGATAAGTTTACCGTACATGAATACTTATATAAAGAAATGACGGGTACGAATGATTGTCCTCAAATTCTCGTTCTCATGTTTTCGCTTCCGAAATATTTCACCGATTTTTCTTTTTTCTTTTTCTATATGGAACGGCATTAGATAAAAATTGTTGACATAGAACTCGAGTACGCATTACTGTCTTGAGAAATAAGAAATTAAGACAACTGGTCGAGACAGCGTCAAAATTTCTTTCTGATTGTTACTTTGATTTATAATGTGGAATGTCAGATTTGTTTTATTGTTAGGAAAAAGTCAACATGTGTACATTAAACTTGAAAGAAAAAAAAAAAACTTAATAGTAACACAATACTATTAAATCATTTTTTTTTCGAATTCTAATGTCCAAAGATGTGTTAATGAATATTAGTTAATTGCTAATTCTAAGACTAATATGATGTTTTGTTTTTCTAAGTATTAAGAGATGATTTCCTTTTAAGTATATTTATTTATCTTTATGTACCTCGAACTATTCATAGAGTCATAAAAGTACTATAATTAGAAGTGTGATATACAAATGTAAATGACCTATATTAACATAGATGTTTATTGAACAAGGAAAAATAATGTCATTTAATGATCTGATACTTTTTGAACTAATTTTACGCAGGAAAAAATTGTTTTACTCTAGAGATTCACAATATATATGAGGTGTTAGTTACTTGAGAAAAGAAAACTTGAAGCTACTTATTAAAATTATTAGAGTAGTTTCCGTCATAGTATTTTGTGTATCATATTCAAGAGAAAAATCAAAATTTATGCTCGTCTCCATCAATTATGTAAAGCATCCTGTTAAGTATATAATTTTTCGTTGGACTTCCTTCTGTCTTATTATATATATGTCGCATCTGGTCTATCGGACATAAAATTAGTTTATGTTTACTGATTATTGCCTTAGAATACAAGTTTCTTATTTGTATACGTAAATAAAACTTAAGATATTAATTATTGTAATTTAGAAAAAAATATAATTGTGATTTATTATGTTTTTTTTTTTTGTAGATGGAAATCAATTTAACAACTTTATCAATACCATTAACCAATGGTGAATCATTTAGTAAATATATGCGTTTAATTAATTTGACTCTTTCATCTTCTGGTATTCTATGTAATTCTATATTGTTAATTATACTTTTCTTACTTAATCGTCAACAATGTACAACATATTTTTTATTAATATTAATGACTATGTGTGATTTTCTTTATTGTACAGTTTATACAAGTATAATATTAACTATTGATAATTATTTAAATATAATAAATCATCAAATATTATGTCCATTATCATTTTTCTTAACACCATTCACATTTACAGGATCAACATTATTATTATTTATTTGTCTTTTACATTTTATAACAGATTATATACGTAAATATAACACAATTTTAGGTCAAATAGGTGGACGTTTATCAGTTGTATTTGTTTTTGCATTTGCTATTATTCGAAGTGTACTTGGTTCAACATCAATTGAATTAGTATCTGATCCAAGAATGCCTCAAATTCAACATTGTACAATTGATATGAATACACCAGATCTTGTAACAAAAGTTCAAAATATAAATTATATATTTGCTGAAGTAACTGATATACTTGTTTATATTGGTTGGATAATAATAATAATAATTTATTTTATTTCATTAATTCGACATAAATTATTATTAAAAAAAGAAAATGAAACAAATTCAAAACGATCTCCATTTGTATCATTTTTACTTGTTTCAAAAAGTCGACAAGAAAATATAATTTCAATCAATCAAGAACGATTAACAAATAAAAAACGACATCATTATGTATCATTAATTATTTTATCAATAAGTATAATGTCAATATTATTTTATTTACCTGTTATGATAAATAAATTTATAACAATGAATATTATTTATCGTGGTAAAACATTTTTAACTGAACAAGAATTATTCTTTTTACAAGTTATACAACAAACAATACTTTTATTTTGTTTAACAATAAGATTTATTCCATATTTTTTATTTGATAAAGGTATACGTTCAATTATTCATCGATTAATTGGAATGAAAATTCGAAAAAGAAAAAAATCATCAAAAAAAAATAAATATCAACAAAAATATATTTGTCATTGTCAATGTTCTCGTCGTCAACAATCTTTAGAATTAAATCATACACAATCTCAACATAATCAACTTGAATTTTAATTATTTAGTAAAATAAATATAAATATAAACATATTTTATTTTCAAAACAAAAATCATATGAAAAATATTTTA